CCGGTTGGATGGCCTTGCAGTCCAAGGGACTCGTGGGAGTCTTCTCCAGCAGCAGAGTTCAAAGGCCTCCATTCATTGGTGCTCAGCCTTCCTTATGGTCCAACTTTCACAGCCATCCATTGCAACTGGGGAAACCACAGTCTTGACTATACACACTTTTGTTGGCAGGGTGATATCTCTGCCTTTTAGTATATGCATAAGTATATAAGTATATGCATTAAATAAAATAAAAAATAAAGTCTGCATTAGGTACTTGATATCTTTAGGAATAATCTTTAGCATGATGGCTTAATTTGTGCCAAATACCACTTTATCGGTTTATTCCAAAAGATCCAAATCTGAACGATGTAACTTTCCCTGCTCTAGTCCAATCATCTCTCTGTTTACTCTTTCCTCCTGTTTTTATGTATTCTTTGGGTGTTACCCAGAATAAAAGAATGATGTATGGATAGGCTGATTCTATTTGTGAGTTGCAGGAGTTGGTAACCATATTTTAATTAAGATGTAGTCATGCTGCCAGAAGCCATACTTCAACCACTGAAGCAGGGGAGCGCATACATACCGTATTTTTCGGCCTATAAGAGGCACTGGAGTATAAGACGCACCAAGATTTTGAAGAGGCAAATTAAAAAAAAAATTGCACCCTGCAAACCTCTCAAAAATGGCTTGTTTTTCGTGAAAATGGGCCCTTTTTTTCTTCAAAAAAGGGCATGAATAGCCTTTAGGAGGCTTGTAGAGTGCTCCTGGGGGCGGGGGGGGGGGAATTGAGCAAAAATGGCCCGTTTTTCTCTCATTTCTGCCTTCCCCAGCCCCCAGGAGCTCTCTGAAAGCCTCCTAAAAGCTCTGCATGGCCATTTTGGTGAAGGGGGCGGTGTTTCGGGAGGCAAAAAAATGCTGTATTCAGTGTATAAGCGGCACCCATATTTTCAGCCTCTTTTTTGAGGGAAAAGTGCGTCTTATAGTCTGAAAAATACGGTATTTCTCATAGAAAAGGGGTGCTTTATTTTTCCTGCTGGTGGGTGTTTGATAGCTCTTGAAACCGTTCTGACAGTTCATAAATGATTTGGGGTGGTCCATGCTATTACCAAGATGAGCCAAAAGTGTGGGTCGAGGCTTGGAGATGGTAGCGAACTCATGGCAAATAGGGGTAAATCCTATTCGTTTGGTGACGGTTCAAAGTGGCAGCGGCACTGAAAAATGTGACATGACCTTTTTTTCCACACGGTCCTTTGCAGCGTCCTCTTCTTCCTATGCAGTGTCCTCTCCATCCAAGCGGCTGGACCTCATGATGGAATTGCTAAAGGAAGACTAGGGTCTCGAGAAATTTCAAGTTGCCTTCACTGTGGAGGGCAAGTACAGCTCAGGAGTACATGGCCAGGGACCCGGCCCACGTAATTGGCTATGTACAGATAGTCCTCGACTTACAGCTGTTTGTTTAGTTACCAATGTTACGACAGTGCTGAAAAAAGTGACTTATGACCACTTTTTGCACTTACAACCATTGCAGCATCCCCAACAGAGGTGGGTTGTTTCCTGTTCGGATCAGATCGGGCGAACCGGTAGTGGCGGCGGTGGGAGGCTCCACCCACCTGCCCGTTGTGGGTGCACACGCATGAGCGAACAGGTAGTAAAAAAAATGGAGACCCCCTACTGATCCCCATGGTCATGTGATCAAAATTTGGGTGCTTGGCAATTGGCTCAAATTTGGGAGAGTTGCATCGTGCCAGTCGGCTCCTGTGATTTTGTGATCTTCAAGTCAACGGGGGAAAGTCGTGTTCCCTTAAAAAAAGTGTTACTAACTTAATACCTGCAATGCTTCACTGAATAACAGTGGCAGGAAAAGTGGTAAAATGGGGAGAAAACTCAGCAAACAAATGTCTCACTTATCGACAGAAAGTTTGGGCTCGGTTGGGGTCATACGTCGAGGACTTAGGTATATTATATCTGGGTGGGGTTATTTTTGTCTCAGAACAGCTGAGACACAATCTGTGGGTGAGTGGCACCTCCAGTTATAAGAATGCTCTTATTCATTTATATAATTCCGGTATCACTACCATACAAGTTGTTCAGCAGCTTCTGCATGCAATTCAAAGTTTTTGGCTGAGGAGAGCAAGTTTGCAGGAAGCCCTCAGGCTAAAACATCTGAAAGAAGCCACAATGAGATCAGATACATCACGAGGAGAGCACATCTTTCTCCTTCTGTCCTGGCCACTTTCTACAGAAGCATGATTGAGAGCATTTTAATGGACTGCATCCCTGTTTGGTTTGGTGGCCGCAGCTCCTCAGATAGAAAGCCCATACAGAAAGTGGTGAGGACAGCGGAGAAGATTATAGGAAGCTCGCTTCCCATTATTTAGGATATTCAAGGAAGGGAGGGAGGAAAGGGAAAAGGGAAGGAAGGAAGGAAGGAAGGAAGGAAGGAAGGGGAAGGAATAGGAGAAGAAAAGGAAAGAAGGCGTTAACAATTGCAATAATTTGCTTACCAACCATGGCAAAAAAATTATAAAATCAGGCACTAATCACTTAACAAATGCTTAGCAATGGAGATTCTGGTCCCAATAGTATTCCTAAGTCAAGGACTATCTCAATACTTGTAACTTGTTCTGGCACTGTGATGGCAAACCTATGGCATGCATGCCACAGGTGGCACATGGAGCCATATTTTCCGGCATGCCAGCCCTCAGCTCTGGCACACATGGGCGTGCCGGCCAGCTGATATTCGGCCTTCCAGCGGACTGGGGAGGCCATTTTCACAAGGGGTGGTCATGTGGATGCATGGGGGGGCACGTGCACATGTGCAGGTGGGTGGGGCGCATTCCATTTTGGGTCTGGGCATGCGCATGCATGCAATATCATGTGCACACACAATTTTGGCACATCTTTACAAAAAGGTTAGCTATCACTGTCCTAGAAGAGGACAGTGTGCCCCGCCCCCTGTGCATGCACACACGAACCCCCATGTCCCATTTTGGGCCTCCCTGCAGACCCCACACATGAGTGTGCATCTCCCATACATGGCAGAGACCGAAAATCAGCTGGCTAGTGGGAGGCACACAGATATGTGTGGTGGAGCTGAGTTGGGATGACAGCTCATGTGCCCGCAGAGAGGGCTTCATGTGCCACAGGTTTGCCATCACCTGTACAGGGTAAGGAACTAGCCAGGCAGAGAACCAAGTGCACAAAACTTGCCATTGCTCCAGCTGAACCCTATATGGGAAGTTGTCACTTGATTGCAAGGTTTGCTGTTAAGAGTCTGTAGTGCTGGTCTTATTTACAGATACAATCAATCTTCTTGCACAGGGCAAGAAGAAGGAAGGCATTGCTAAAGATTACACAGTTTTAGATAAACTTTTGATAGAGACAGAAAACAAGTTGATCAAAGTGCCGTATAGATTTTTACTAGAATACAAACTCGAGGAAGAACATGTCAAAAAAACTACGGTTGGTTATAATGTGGAATTGGCTAAGTGGGAAAAACTTTGGATACTTAATCNGAAGGAAGGAAAGAGGGTGGGAGAGAGAAAGAGAAAGAAAAAGAAAGAAAGAGACAAAGAAAGAAGGAGAAAGAGAATGAGAAAGAAAGAGAAAGAAAAAGAAAGAAAGAAAGAAAGAAAGAGAGAGAGAAAGAGAGAAAGAAAGAAAGAAAAGAAAGGAGAAAGAGAATAAAGAAAGAGAAAGAAAAAGAGAGAGAAAGAAAGAGAGAAAGAACGAAAGAAAGAAAGGAGGAGGAAGGCGGGAGAGAGAAAGAGAAAGAACGAACGAAAGAAACAAAAAGAAAGAAAGAAAGAAGCATATACCCACATATATTATAAAACTACACGGCTGCTGTAAACCTCGCATCATTTAATCCCTAACCACCATTCCTAACCCTTTTTTTGGGGGAGTGGGGGGGACACGCGCGTGGAGATCCTCACGGCGAAGAATCGCGCCCGCCCGCGTGTGGGGCTGTTTTATCAGGCGCGGAGCTTCCCCGGCGCTCCTTTGTGCTTCCCCCGCCACCTCCCCGCACCTGGGATAGGAGTCACACTATTTCCTTGCTAGGCTTCGTTCCCGGAGAAGCCAATAAGCGCGCAGCTTTCCTGGCTTCCTGTCTCTCGTAGGTGTGTTCCTCCGTGGCTCACCTGAGAAAAAAGTGAAGAGCCCGGTGCGAGGGCTCAGCCCCCCCCCCAACTCGGGGAAGGCAAGAAGGAGCAGGGAGCCGCCGAAAGCCCCCCCCATACCCAGGGGACCCCAATGGACAGGCCGGCCTGGCCCCCAAGACCGTGTAAGGGCAGCCGCTTCAGGTAAGTTGCTCCGGAGCTCCGGACTTTAAAAAACAAAACTTTCGGCCAAGTTTGTCCCGCTGCCAAGTTGCAGGGCTGAATCAGAGCAAAGAGACGCGCTGGGGCCTCGCGTAGGAATTCCAGGTGAGCTGCGTCAGGTCGAGCACGGAACCTGGCAGGCAGGCAGTTTGCAGGGAAAGAAAGGGAAGGCAGAAAAAACCAGAGGAAAAAAAAGGTTCATTCTTTCTCTCTCTGCCCCCCCCCTCACCGCCTTCAGCTGCAGAGAGACGCCCCCCCCCCTCTTGTAAAGGATTGTGATAAGGTGTGTGTCTGTTGGTTTCCTCCTGCATTCTCTCCCCCTCCTCCAACTCCGTGATGAATTATCAACAGTTCTGAGCTGGAGCTCTTTTGCCGGAAAATTAACACGAAACTTGCAATGCCGGGAATTCCCAAATTTGGGTGAGGATTGTCCAGGAATGTGCCCCCCCCCCATCGGAAGGAGCTGTTTTCCAAGGCTCCTGAAACTTTAAAAAAAAAGTTTGTTTTTCATTTTTAAACTCCTACATTCAGTACATTTACAGGTATACATTCTCACGGGTTGTTATGAACATTGCGTATTAACCATTTTGAAACTCTGTTTTTCCCTATAAACATTCAAAACTTAATTTAAGCTCCTGAGACTTAAGATGCCTTTCAAGACAGGGAGTCCTCGACTTACAGCGGGTTCATTTAGTGACCGAAGTCACCGAAGCGGGCAGCCCTGAAAAAAAGTGACATAGGGACGTGTTTCACACTTCTGAGGATCATTGTGAGGACACCTCTGGTTTTTAAATCCCAGGCTGGTTGTTAGCTGCCATCCTCGGGCTGGCTGTCATTCCAAGGTGATGAATGCTTTCAGAGAGAGGGAGAGGGAAGGAGGGAGAGAGAAGGAGGAAGAGAGAAGGAGGGAGAGAGGAAGGGAGAGGGGGAGAGAGGGGGGGAGAGAAAGGCTGCCTCTCACAGCCTCCAAGAAAGGGGATATTTGCTTTTTCTATTTCCTTCAGAGGCTCCTTTGAAATTATTTTCAGTGTGTAGTTCTCTTTTATTGCCAAACGTGTGAGTCAAGTGTGAAAGGAAAGTAGACGGTGGATGGTTTCTCACCCCTCTGGTGGTTGATAGTTTCTTCCCCCCCCCCAGCCCTTGTTGTGTGGACTAGTCCATCACTCCAACCACATTCTGAATGCATCATCATGTGTCAAGACAACATAGAAATTTTGTTGACCTGGATTTAAGGTTCAACATAATATCTGAACCCATCCATGTGTCTTTAAATCATCCATATTTCTTCTTTTATTCTTTTACTTGCTCTTCATATCAGGAGTGAAATCCAGCAGGTTCTGACAGGTTCTGGAGAACCAGTAGTGGAAATTTTGAGTAGTTCAGAGAACCGGCAAATACCCCCTCTGGCTGGCCCCGCCCCTACCTATTCTCTGTTTCCCGAGTCCCAGCTGATCAGGAGGGAATGGAGATTTTGCAGTATCCTTCCCCTGCCACGCCCACCAAGCCACGCCCACAGGGGCGTGTTTTTAGCAAAAAAAAATTAGTAAACANTGAAACTTGCTGTCACTTGCTGTTTCAATTTCAGGCAAATTGCTGAGAGGCAGATTTTTTTTCTTGTGCTAATCAGGCTGTTTGCTTCAAGAAGGTAAATCAATAACTATAAATGCCTATAGAATGTTCAAATTATTATTTTTTAAAGACTGCTTTATTATTGTTCTAGACAACTTAACAAAATGAAGAAGCTTTTTAAAATAAGTGTGGTCTGAAGAGGTCCAGTGCTATTGTATCTTCTTTTAAACAGCGGAGAATAAAAGATACTTCCAGAAAGCCACATCACTTTTAACAGCATTTGTACAATGCTGTACAATTTGTACATACTCTGAAATGTAACACCACAAACAGTGTATATCATCTGTACTATTTACTGTTTGTTGCAAGGAGGCAAATTGCTGGGAGGCAGAGGCAGACCCTAACCCTAACCCCTTCTTTTCCTCCCCAAAAGCTAGGTGCGCCTTATATTCTGAAAAATACGGTAACTTTAAGGAAACATGTTTTTCCTTCTTAGACAAGGCAAGGGCGTTTCTTTATCATGTGAGAACTTGCTTTTTTGGCAACTACACAATAGATAGCGTGTTCTGAAAGTCCTTGGATACATTTGCAAATTTTAAGAAACATACAAATGCAGCTGGCAGAGTAAGGTAACCCATAAATTTGCTACTTGTGGAATGTTTTCTATGTTGCTAAGTGAGAAACGTGTTAAGTTTTACCCCATTTTACGACTTTTCTTACCACATTTGTTAAGTGTATCATTGCAGTTGCTAAGTTAGTAACAGTTGTTAAGTGAATCTGGCTTCCCCACTGATTTTGGTTGTGGGAAGGTTGCAAACGGCGATCACATGACTCTGGGACACTGCAACTTTCATAAATATGGCTCATTGTCAAGTATCCAAATGTAAATTGTGACCACGGGGATGCTGTAACGGTTATAAGTGTGAAAAATGGTCATAAGTTACTTTTTCCAGTGCCGTTGTAATTTAGAATGGTTACTAAACAAAAGTTTGTAAGTTGAGGACTACCTGTAAATGCTTTTTGCTTTGCCTGAATTTATTTAGTGTTTCATATTTTTCAGGTGAGCAAAGAAGTCCCCTTTGCAAGTTGGATAAATTGTGAACAGGTCAGATGTCTTCCTTTGCATGGATTTTAGATTTAGATTTAGATTTGTTTATTTATAGGCCGCCCTTTTCCCTGAGGGGACTCAGGGCGGCTTACAATCAAGAAAGGGAAGGGGAGTGACTCAAACCAGACCTTTTTTTAATTGTTTTAATGTTTTTTTTTACTGTTTTTATTGTTTTTAAATATTTTAAAGATCTAATTGTAATGTTTTTGAATTTTGAACTGCCTGGAGTCAGCTGGGATGGGCAGCTATAGAAATGAAAGAAACAAATAAATAAATGGTTATTTGAGCCATCAGTCACAGATGCAACCTTCACACACAAACTGAATATGCATTTCAAATTACATTGGGTGTTTATTTTTACTCCTATTCAGGTTATGTCATGTAACTTTCAGTATTCCTACATAGCAAGATACATACTTAGACTTATATACCGCTTTATAGCCCTCTCCAAGTGGTTTACAGAATTAGCATATTGCCCCCAACAATCTGGGTTCTCATTTTACCCACCTCGGAAGGCTGGAAGGTGGAGTCAACCTCTAGCCTGGTGAGATTTGATCTGTCAAATTTCATACAGCCAGTGATCAGCAGAAGTAGCCTGCAGTATTGCACTCTAACCACTGTGCCACCACGGCTCATTTGTTTTCAGCATTTTGGGAGGACGCATAATATTTTAAAGCATTTTTGATTCCACATTTCATCATACATATGTTTCCCCGAAAATACAACCTGTCCTGAAACTAACGCCTTGCCACATTTTTCGCGTGGGCAAAAATGTAAGTAACCCCCCGAAAATAAGCCCCCTGGACAACCTTCCCCCTCTGGCCAGGCAGAGCACCACTCACCAACCTAGTGTTATCCCGAAGGTGCCAAGCTGCGGGAGCCGGGGGGGAAGGCGCTCACGTTGCTTGCCGCCTTCAGGATACAGCTAGGTTGGGGAGTGGCGTTCTGCCTGGCCGGAGAGGGGAATTGCCGGGCAGCTCCTCCCTTGCGAACTGGCTCCCGAAGAGCTGGGCACATTGTCAGAGGCTGTGCCTGGCTCTTTGGGAGCCAGTTCGCAAGGGTGCAGCTACCCGGAAACCCAAAAATAATAAGCCCTCCCCCTATAATAAGCCCAAGGCCATATTTCATGGGGCAAAAGAAAATAGGACCCTGTCTTATTTTCGGGAAAACACGGTATTATTTTCGTAAACATCTCCAAGACGTTCCTCCCATCATTCCATTTCTTCTATTCCATTCTGAATTACCTTTATATTTATTTTCATTCACTTTATTAAATACTTTTTAATTGTCCTTATCCTTTTCTAAAACAATTCATTTCTACTACCATATCCTTTGTTTCTATGCTTTTTTAGTCTTCTGTCTATTGCTTTACCATGTTTCTGCAAGTATCCTTTCTATATATATGTATTATGCAATATCTCTCACCTTCATTTCTTGCATCATTCTTAAATGCATTTTTCTGATCCATAATTGCCTTGTACTTTCTAAAAAAATACAGTAATGTGATAAATATAGATATATGTTTATATGATTATCTAGAGTTTTTAGAATCAGATTGTGTATATGTTTGATATATAAATGCCCTTCATTATGACTGATGTTTTTCTCAATTTTACTAAATTTAGAAATTTCTAATTTTTACATGTACAGTATTCCAGATTCAGACCATTGGAAATCTAGTTAAAGCATAGGAGATATTTAATATGGGAAAGATTCTTGGAGCTGGACTAAACAAATGGTAGGATGGATGGGTTGAAATATATTCCATACAACCAGGTGTGAGTTTTTCTTGTCTAAAGCTGCCTTCCTCAATCTGGTACCCAAGAGATGTATTGGATATCAGGTCCCATAACCTTTGGCCATTCCAGTCAATAAAATTCAAGTGAAGGGCAGCATATTGAAGTTAAGTAGTTTAAGGAAGTATTTTACCTACAGTAATCTATCTATCTATCATCTATCTATCTATCTATCTATCTATCTATCTATCTATCTATCTATCTATCTATCTATCTATCT